TAGAGGAAAGAACAGAACATTCAGCTTTTGGCATTACTAAATTAGTTGTATGTTAATGCACCAATATACTTAATAAGCTTACAATTTTCCGCAGCCTGGTAACTGTTCCCATATTACTCCAACACTGGCTATTAGAGTGTTGAAGATTCTCCAAACTGAACTTTTACCTCTGCCCCCAAATCATGTCTCTGACACAGGAACATAGTTACTTACAAAGGAACCTGATGTGCAAACAGAGCACAACTCACTTCCCTCTGAAACAAACAAGAAAGGATCCCTAGAATTGTTTCCTATAAAGATTAAGGTGACAGTAGTACAAAGATATTCTTTCTCTACCCTGGAGAGATGTTGTCCATTACCATAGGAGCAGTGGATTTCTTGCACCAGCACAGAACTGCATTAGTTGGCCTGTCAAGACCCTTCTAGCTCTCTGATTTTAGAGAGATCTGTTTGATTTATGATATAGTAGCTTCATACAAGTGCTGGTTTGGGCTCGTAAGCATTCCATGTAAAAGGGAATTTGCTATATTGCTGCTTATCTTCACCATCACCAAAGCCAGCCTCTAGCTCCATTTGCATAGAGAAGATGACTAACATCTCCAGGTTCAGGGTTTGCTCTGATGCTTAATCTGAAAACTTCTAATCTGAAATACCAACAGACTGAATACTTCACTTTTCCAAAACAGGTTTTAAATATTAAAGTGTCAGGGCAAAATTCATAGCAAAGGATGTAGAACACAACCCAGTGTTTCTGACTTACAGCAACAGAATCCTGAGGATCCTCACAAAATCGTGTGTGTGTGTGTATTTATGCCTTCAAGTCAGTTTTTGACTCCTGGCAACTGCCTGGACTAGTCCCTGCAGTCTTCTTGGCAAGATTTTGGAAGTGGTTTGCCACTGGCTCCTTCCTAGGGCTGAGAGAGAATGACTGGCCCAAGGTCACCCAGCTGGCTTCGTGCCTAAAGCAGGACTAGGACTCACAGTCTCTGAGTTTCTAGCTTGGTGCCTTAACCACTGCACCAAACTGGCTATCCACAAAATTAATAAAAGAGGATAATTTGCCTTACTATTCCCATCAGCATGCTATCTCTTCCCATTCTTTTTCTCTCCTCCCCTCTCCAAATTTGTAAGGCAAGAGAGAGTTAACTCTCCTCCCCATTATGACTACATTCCCTCAGCCTGCCAAAAACCTGTCTGGAACAGTGAAAGAAATTCAAATGGAAAAGGTGCCCATCTTCCCATCACATGTACCTCCCCAAGCCCACAATTCAACCTCTTGGCAGACGAGAGAACTTAGCTCAGGGGGTGAACGTGTTCACTGCTAACTGCCATCCTGTAAGAAAGATACCAGGTGATAACAAAGATCTGGACCTGGGATTTTAAAGGACCACAAGCTAAATTAGAGGTCAAAAGCTACATTTAATTAAAATAAATGTAATGCATAATTCTTCCCTTCCCAGCGGAGGCAATTTTGCAGGGATTCTGGGGATATATACCTAAGACCATAGAACCTCAAACTGTGCACCATGTTCTACAACCTCACCCCTATGTGGTCCCTGGAACACTTACAGCTGATCTGGCACCTTCATTGGATGAGGCAGAACAGGGCTGCCAATGTGTTCACATTTATTTAGAGATCATGGAGGTCATATATTCAGGGGTGTGATCCCTGAATTCAAAACTTGTGTTTACCCAGCCAAAAACTGCAGGTTTTTGGAGAGACAGAGGTGCATGTACATATGATTTACAAGCTCTCTTGCAAGTAAAGACACACTAAGAGGTGAGAATAGCTTCCTGGTTAAAAGAAATCTCCAGCTCCTTTAAAGAAGTGTACATCTGCCTTCTAGGTTAGCTGGTATTTCGATCCAGTTTTGTCCAAAGCCTTTGGTGTCCTTCAGAGATCTTGGACTATAACCTCATTATCCCCTAGCATGGATTGAGATGGGTAGTCCAACACCTCTGGAAGATGCTAGATTGTAGAAGGCTAGCTTAAAACTGTCAAGGATTTTAAGGCTAAAACAATTTTTGTAAAGAAGCTAATCCTACTATAAGAGTTACTGGGGGTAAGAGAGAGTGAGTTTGCCCCAAAAAGGCACTAATTTGGGTTGAATGTCAGAATACAGAAGCCAAACTTTGAAACCCCCAAGAAGGGAGACTGGAAGACATTCCAACCTAGGTCCCACCAGATGTTCTGATTTACAAGTCCCATCATTCCTGACCATGGGCTATGTTATCTGAGGCTTATGAGAATTACAAGCTGGGTTCCAATACATTAAACCCAAATGTGACTTGTTCAGCTTTGGTTTAGTGTGGTACAAACTTAACCCTGACAGTTCATTCATTCATTATAGTTGAACAAACAATGGTTCCTCCCCCCAAGCCTCCAGAGGGGGGGGGGAATTAGGCTGGTGGGATCTGAAAGGCTGCTCTAAAGCATAGGCAACCTTTAATAGCAGGGGCTCTTGAACACTGGTGTCTTTACAAGATCCCTCTTCAAATTCTTTGCAGACATCTCTGTTCCGCTTCTCTTCCTTTACACGCCCAGGTCCATTCATCTCCTTGTCTTCTCCCACTGTGTCCTTCTCCTTCTGGCTCTTGGTCCACATCTGCCGAACCCAATCCATCTCAGCTGTCCAAAGTTGCCGGTCCTTCTCCCGTTGGGCTTTCTCTTCTTCCCACAGCCCCTGGAATAGCTTTTCTCTCTCTCTGAAATGTGTCCGGATATCTCGCACCAACTCATCAAATTTGTCATCCCAAGGTCTCTTCCGTCTATTCCGGAGCTGGGCCAACTTCTCCCGTGTGCTCAGCAGACTCCGTGGCCTGGAAAAAGCTGGTGGCAGGGAGGAATGAGATGAAGAAAGTATTACTCATCTGGAAGAGATGAGGACCAAAGCTGTGTCATTGGAGCTCTCCAGGCACGAGAACCAGCATCTGGCATACATAGACCAGCAAAGTGGCATGTCCTTTCACCATTCATGTAGACAAAGTGGGACTACTAAGAATCAAGAGGGGAGATACTAACATACACAAGGAACCCTGAAGTAGAAACATCAAAAGAGAAAAAAAAATCCCTAAAACCCATACAATTCAGTAAATATTAAATGTCTGGATATGAAGCGAAAAACAATACAGAAGGGAGGAAAAAAGGAACAGCTGGCACACTGAATTTAAGTACCTGTCCCTATGATACTATCTAGTTGATCCTAGCTCTATTTTTACATACTGTATTACCATTAAATATTAAACATGAAATATTAAAATTCAATGGACAACATAGATCCAAAGCATCTCATACACTATCTAGTCAAATGGCTCCCTGAAGGAGAATAAATAAAGCATCTAATGATTTGACCTCCAGTCAACTATAAATCACAAGTGAGAAGACGCTGTTATCATTCTAATCCAAGCGTGACCAAAGTCATTGTGAAACAGTTTAATCAGGCTTTTAAACAGCAGTTTGCCTGCTTATCTCTGACACTTCAATATCTGAAACTTTTCACCAGGAAATCCAGCGAACCGGCTGGGCAGTCCAGGAAGAGGAGGTGCTAGCTTCCCATTCTAAGCTCACATCCCTGGGAATCAACCCCATTGAGCTCAGGGGGCGTTATCTCTAAGCCAGTGTTGTCCAAACTTGGCCGCTTTAAGATGAGTGGACTTCAATTCCCAGAATTGAATTCCCCATGCTGGCTGGGGAATTCTGGGAGTTGAAGTCCACTCATCTTAAAGCGGTCAAGTTTGGACAACACTGCTCTAAGCAATGAGGTCAGAGATGAAAGAGTTGGTGAGCCAGAGATCCACTCGATCACCGATGTCTATGGGCGAGGCCTTTCTCCCTCTTCACACCCCACATCACGCCACCCCCTTTTCCACTCACCTCTCCGGTTCACCCCGGTTCTCCAGGAAGCGGCCAGGTGCCCCGGGGTCTCCTGCTGAAGCAAAGACTCCTCCACCATCCTGGATCTGCGCAGGTCCCGGCCGGGGGTCTCCCCCGGAGCGTCTTCCTGAGCAGCGTAGAGGTAAGCCCCCTCTGCTCCCCTTCCTCCCCCGAGGAGGCCGGCCTCTTCCCGCGGGGGGCTCTTCTCCTCCTTGATCACGCCACCCGCGACGTGATGGTGCAAGATCGATGGCTCGGGGTGGATCAAGCCCCCGGCGGCCGCTTGAGAAGAGGACGAAGAGGCGGCGGTGGCGCCGGCAGGCTCGCCCGGCGGGTCCAGATCGCTGCCGTCGGTGACGGACACTTGAGTCCAGGCGTACTCGTCCTCCGGGAGCTCCGGATCCGGATCGAGATCCGGATCGCTCTCCTCCTTGATCACCACCTGGCACCACGGAGCGCCGCCGTCGCCGCCGCGGGCGCTGCCCCCGCCGCCCAGG